AAAGAGTGTACAACATCGAGGGTCAGAAAAGGACGTCACACCCACAACATGAACTACGACGATACCACCAGGAACAACAAGAAAGGCAACAAGAACTGCAACAACACCAACAACAACAGGGGTTTGACACATCCTCCCCGTAGCGTGGCTTGATGTGGGGCATCCCAGCAGTTTAACATGCACCTGTTCATAGAGAGGTTAGGTAGGAGACGCCACTATCGCAGTGTAGGGGGGTGACTGGGGTAGCATGCAGGTGCAGTGCAGCGCGTGTGTCTGTACCAGGTCTCTGTGAAGCAGGCAGTAAAGGCAGCGGTGCCGGGCGAGTCCGGGTGGGGGGTGAGGGCTCTTGCTCTGTTCTAGGTTTTCAGGGGGGCCCAGGGCCTTCCGGGAGATAAGAGGGTGTGGCAGCCAGCCATGGCACAAAGGCTGCCTACGACACAAACTCCACCCCTCTCCGCTCAAACTCTCACCCTTTCAGACAACGGAGGGGGGATTGAGAGAGAGATCACGGCGAGGAGAGCGGGTCAGAAAGTCGTCATCCCTGCCTACCCCGTCCCGCCCCAACAACCCACCCCGCTTCTCAAAGCAAGGAAAACAACAAACACCCCTCCACTCCCTTCACTTGAGGTGAGCCCAGCCTTTGTGCGATGCTCTGATAGCACTCCGCTTTAGCTCTGGCTTGGTGCCAGTCCGCATGCAAACTCTAAATGGGCTCAGTCAAGATGCTATGTGCAAACAAGCATGCTGCGGTGAGCTAAGTCCTCTTGGATGACCTCCAGATCTCATAGCTAGCTTCCAAGAACTTGCTCCTGACTGGGCCTATGCTGGCCATTAGAAAGGTTTTACATGTCCTCAGACAAACAGTTTCTAAACTACATTCAGATTTTTAACCAAATACATCTGTCAACATGTTTGATGTTACACACATTTACTGGAATCTTTAAAGCTACATTATGTAACTTTTGGCCCTTTAGCGGTTGAAGCATAAAATGTTACTTGCGGAGAAACATTGCTTTGGTGATTATGCAAATTGTGCTTTGGTTCTTATGAGCTTATTTGCAAACAGTTGTTTTAAAATAACATTTCAAAAGACTGGTAATGCTGACATTAGACATAATGATTGGTATTCATATCAGTTAAGGTAAAACAGTGGACACCTGGCTAGTAGGCTAAGTAGTAAGTGGTTTAGAGATTGGCATTGTTACCAACATAAATATTGTTTTGTGAACCTAGTCCATGCACAGCAAATGCGCAAACTAAACCTATTTTTGAAAAGCCAAGCTAGTGTTGATCTGTTTTTTAGTACGGACACTGTTACTTTAATATTTTGCTTACAAACTCTTTTCGGTACAAGGTTTGCGAATGACAAGACGAATGACAGAACTATGCAGTTTCCTGTGAAATGTGTCCGGACCGCTTTACAATAAATATACTGCACTTGCTCATTATATAAATTTGCTAACTTTGAACAAAAAAAAAGTTACATAGTGTAGCTTTAAGTAAGCATACAATGTTACTTTCTCCAACAGTTCCCACCTTACTACATAAACTGGTCATGGTATTACTGAAATGTATACGTTTTTAAGTATTAGCATGTAGTTAATCATAAAAAAGGCTACACATCAATCTTCTCTTTGATATTGTCATTAATTCATTACTGTCATTACACATCTTGCTCAGTATCCATTTTACCATTTTGCTCGCATGCATGTCAAGCGATGGGCCAGTCTGCACGAGGTTCTGCTACAGTCTACAGAGCTCTAAACCAACTGGGTTAAATGTCTAGACCTAGACTTAAACTGTAATTTGGTGGTTGAAAGATGTAGCCAGATCATTTTAGTGGGTAATTTTTCTTGATTGGTTTCCAATAGCTATGATCTAGCTACCATGAGCTAAACTACAATCTGCTGTCACCTGTAAAGAACGCATTAGCATACTTAAGAAAATGTTACATTTAAACAACTTACAATTACATATATTGTTACAGAAAAATGACAAATTACACTTATCGTCCCTTAGCATTCTATCGTAGCATGTAGTTCAGAATTTGGCACTTTAAATGATGACCTAGTTTTAGTATCTGTTGTCTGTAGCAGAAGCCCAGGCCCTTGTGCATGTGTGAATGTGAGTGTGTAGTGGTAAAATGTTGTGTGCATGTATGCAAAAGTGTGTGTGTGTGAGTGTGTATGTTTAAGTGTGAGTGAGCCTGTTCCAGGCTGGCAGGCAATAGGAAGCATGCGGTGCAGCTCTTACTTAAATCCCCATCCCGTCCCCCCCAGCACTATGGCTGCCATCAGGATGGCCCCTGCGATGGAGCCTATGATAAGGTTGGTGGCACTAGGACCTGTAGAAGGGCATGATGGGAGAGAAACATGACGTAAGCTGCAGGGGGCACCTGCACAGCATGCAGGGTTTACACATCAAATGCTGGACTTCACTTATGTTATACACTCTTTCAGTCATGTGATTACTCAGGATGGGAATCCGTAGGGTAGATAACGCTCAACTTACCCTTGATAGCATAGTGTGTGTGTGGGATGTTATTGGACATGGGTGTGGAGAATTTAGGGGCTGTAGATTTTGGCACAGGGGAGCGGCACAAGTAACTGCTGGTTTGTAAAGGAAGATCTTAAAGCACTGAGGTGTTTTGAGCTACGCTACCAATACAGGACTGACGAAAACAAATGCACAGACGCGCGCACACAGACACACAAAGAAACATTAACCCACAAACACACTCGTGGTGAAGTTTTACCCACTCATGCACACGTCGGACCTAGTTAGAGTGGAATATTTAGCTCAGCTCAGAAAGTGGGCCAGTTCTGATGGGATTTTGTGTCAGTTAAAAGACGCCACGGCATCTTATGTCAATGTCAGTTCAAGTCATCTCATGTTTTTCCACCCTCCTCGTCTTGTTCTTCATTCTTGATCCTCTTTTCTCACTTTGAATTTTTTGTTCTATGTTAATGCCCCACATGGACCAGAAAGGGAAGCACCGCAACACTCCATTAACACAGGGTGATAATAAAAATATCCATGATAATAGCAGCCAAGGGAGAAGAGAAAATAAGAGATATACCAATCAATCAGTCCAATTACACAACAAAAATGACAAGGCACCATCACATTCAACACAACGGACAAAGCCACTGGGAGAACACGTACACACAACCGCACGTACACGCGCACACACAGGGGATCACAGGATCTCCCTCTTCCTGGGGGAATGGCATTAAAGGGTTAAGAGGTGCTTACTCTATTCCCCACCCTGTGCCTCCAAAAATCACCCCCAGGGCCAGAATGGTCCCTGCCACTGCCCCTATCAGCCTGTTTGTGGCCACGCTCACTGTGCAGAGGAAATAGGGGTGATTCAACAGAGAAAATGTCACTCAAGGCCCCTTTTTTTTTTTTTTTTATTGTACACGTACTAGTATTTGTTAAAGTCTTGTGAGTGGGAAAAGTCACAATATAGAAATGGGCACCTACAAAAAGTAGTGATCTTTGGAAGTGGCTTTGCAGTGGACTGGAGTTAAGGTGTGTGTGCATCTGAGGATTAGGCTGTAAGATCTGTGTATATATATGGCAAAGTTTTTTTATGTTTAAAGAATTAAGAGAGATCACGAACCCTTGGGACCCGGGTCCTCGGTGACGGGTGGCTCTTTTGGGGGGTCATGCATGCTGCAATCAGTCCCTGCCCATGTAGCATCACAGGTGCAGGTTGCTTCATTATTGCACACCTGAAAGTTGATAAACAGTAAGAAATAACCCACAGTATCATCATTGATGATGTGTAACACAGTTAAGTTAAAGGTGCTGTAAGCCTGGGGTTAATATTTACAGATTAGCCAGTTTTTAATAGTAATAAAGAAATAAAAATGCATACAGTTTTGTGAAAAAAGTATTTCTACATTTTCATTTTACAGTTTTTACATCTGCTGAATCTTTATATTTTAAATATAATTTTATAAATACATTTGAAATTAATTGGAGATGTTTCTCTTCAAGTTTTATAAATACAGTCATGTTTAATAATATTTTATAATGTCACGCTCACAATTTTTCTTACACTATACGAAAATGGGTCTATAATATACACACGATTGTTCAAAGTTTGGTATTGGTAAGTTTTTTTAATGTTGAAAATGTATATACACTCACAGAGGCTGCATTTATTTGATCAAAATAAAGTAAAAAAAACCCAGCAATATTGTGAAATAATATTACAGTTAATAACTATATTAACTATAACTATATATTATAATAATACATTTAAAAAATATAATTTATTCCTTTATTTGGTGCTCAAGAAACATTTATTATTATCACTGTTGAGAGCAGTTGTGCTGCTTAATATATTTGTGGATACTTTTATAAAGAATTCTACAGGATGATTAGAAAGTTCAAAAGAACAGCATTTATTTGAAATCTTTTAGAAATCTTGTGTAAAAATGTAAAAGTCTTTACTGTCACTTTTGATAAATTCAACACACCCTTGCTGTATAAAAGTATTGTTTCTTTTACTCTCTCTGCTCCCTAGTTTACCTCTGATTTGCATCTACTTTTAAGTAAAAGGCTGTAGGCTAGAGCGTCTGTATGCCAAATCCGGTCTTACTGTACATAAAGAAATGCTTGCTCACCATATCCAACATTACAAAGATGCACTGTCCAAAGCTAAATCAGACTATTATTCTAAAATAACTGGAGCTAGTGAAGGGAACTATAGATCTCTTTTTTCTGTGGTGAAGAATTTTCTGTGTCCACCTGACTCTTTACCGTTAAACATGTATTCTGAAAAAAAAAGTGAAAGTGAAGTGACATATGGCCAAGTATGGTGACCCACACTCGGAATTTGTGCTCTGCATTTAACCCAATGGGGGATGCCTTGCTCAAGGGTCTCACCTCAGTCGTGGTATTGAAGGTGAAAGAGAGCGCTGTACATTCACTCCCCACACCGACAATTCCTGTCGGACCTGAGACTTGAACCTGCAACATTCGGGTTACAAGTCTGACTCTGTAACCATTAGGCCACGACTGCCTAAACTATACAACAGATTTTTGACTTTCTTTGAGTCTAAGATTGAAAAGATTCCTCAGCAATTACTTTCAAGTAATTTAGGCTATGATTCCAGTTATCCAGTCTCCTATGTGACCCTGCATTTTACTTTTACTACTTTCACTTTAACAACTGTTGCAGAGATATTGTCATATCCGGAAATCTAAACCTACCACTTGTCAGCTCAACCCATTACCTACTTGCTTAGTTAAAGCCTGTCTACTATCTTTGTCTTCATTAATTTGCCATTTATTTCTTAAATCTTGGAAAAATGTATTGCAACTTAAGTTCACGATCATCTCTCCAATAATAAATCATTTGAGCGATTTCAATCTGGCTTTCATCCCCACCATAGTACAGAGACTGCTCTTGTTAAAATTACTAATGATCTGTTATTGGCAGCTGATTCTGGTTTATTAACAATACTTGTCCTTCTCGACCTGAGTGCGGCCTTTGATACCATCTCGCATAAGATACTCCTGGACAGGTTCGTTTCTATAGGGATCACTGGCACCCCCCTGTCCTGGTTTAGGTAATATCTCACTGGTCGCATTCAGTTTGTTCAAATTAAAACATTTTCCAAGACCATTTACAGTTACCACTGGTATCCCTCAGGGTTCTGTTTTGGGCCCACTGCTATTCATCATCTATTTACTCCCTCTTGGCCATATTTTCAGGAAATATGGTATCCATTTTCACTGCTATGCCAATGACATGTCTCCCAAACCTTCTAGCTCCACCTTCCTTGACCAGATGTTTAACTGAAATTAAAGATTGGCTTTCAGCCAGCTTTCTAAAACTCAACAGTGATAAAACTGAGGTCTTACTCATTGGTACAAGATCTACTCTGACTAAATCTGATTGTTTTTCTGTGGATAATCAATTATAACGCAATTTGTCCTTCTCAGCAGGTTAGGAGTTTGTCCTTTGAAGCTGATGTTAATAATATTACGCATGCTGCATATTTCCACCTGCGTAATATTAATCATCTCCATCCCTCTCTCACAACGAATAATACGGCAATTCTTATTCATGCACTCGTTACCTCACGTATCTATTATTGTAATGCTCTCCTTACTGGCCTTCCTTCTAAACTTCTTCATGAACTCCAGTTAGTTCAGAATTTGGCAGCTCGTGTTCTTTTTAAGACTTCATCTATTGAGCACATTTCTCCAGTTCTCCAACGTCTACACTGGCTCCCAGTGAAGTATCGATTTAAAAATTTTGCTTTTCACATTTAAGGCACTTCACAACCTAGCTCCGCCATACCTTACTGACCTTCTCCACATCTAACCTCCTTCGCGCACTCTCAGATCTTCATTCTCGATTTCTCTTGTCGCCGCTTATACGCTTAAGCACCCTGGGAGCAAGAACTTTTAGTTTTGCGGCCCCTTGCCTATGGAACTCCCTCCCTCCCAATATACGTGACAGTGACAGTCTGCATATTTTTAAATCTCGTTTTAAGGCTCATCTCTTTACCCAGGTTTTTGTATGACTATGTATGCAGTTGTGCTGTTGAATTTTGTAATGCTGGCAGGATCTGTTCGTCTTTTGTTACTCATTTTTGTATTTTTTATCATTTTGCTTGCTGTAAGGTGACCTTGGGTGTTTAGAAAGGCACCATTAAATAAAATGCATTATTATTATTATTAATTTCAGTAAAAAAATGTTTTACTGACCCCAAACTTTTGAACAGTAGTGCAGCTGCCTCTATATTTTAGGAAGGAGGTCATCCTTCCAAGGGGATTGCCATGTTTGAGAGGTCTTGGCATTGAAAAGTTTGAAAACCCCATGCGATTTCAGCAGTTTTTCACTGATTTCAATACCCACTCTCAAAACTCGGCCTTCCTAAGACAACAAACCCTATGTCTTCAAACCCTAAAACACAAAATCGTCCACAGGCAGACAATGTGTCTGATTAGCTAGTTTATTGACTAGCAATGTGTGGTATCCTACAGCAGATTTAAGTAAAATTAAAATAAAAAAAATCAATCCCCTTCTTATAGATATTGGATACCCATGACAATGTGTTATTTTCAGATGTTGTGGAATAGATTGTCATTCCTCTGCATATAAACTGAATGCAGGGGATGAATTCAATCCCTGACGTTAAAATTCTGGATTAAATTTGTAAGTGGATTTGAGTGGATTTCTGGCTTTGTTGGATTGGAATTCAAACAGAATTATTTTCAAGGCTGACTGTGGTGTGAGATACATCTAAGCAGCAGAGAGTGTCAGATGGTGATCACTCACGCCGTGAGAAGAGCAGACTCGGCCACCCGGGCCAGACGGACAGGCTGTGAGGTTCAGGGAGGAGATGGGTAGACATTTCCGCTCAAGGCACATCATAGAGGGACCACACGGCGTACCATCTTCCACATACCCTAGATCAGTGTCATCATCCAACAGCACGTGTCCCCCGCTACAGAAGAAGGAGAATTAGAAAACGGTAAAAAATAAGTATTTCAGGAATTTTGTTAAAGTATAATGGGAGAACATTTGCAGAGATCCAGGAACAGACCTGCAGTCCACCAGTCGCCCCTGATGGTTAAAGGTGGTGGGAGTGACGTCACCTTTCAGGGTCCCGATCCTTGGATTTCTCCCAGTGTTAGTGCACAGCAGGTACCCACAAAAGACATCGCTGTAAATCCACAGGATTTGGATTTGGAAAGTATTAGAGATGGTTATGTGATCATGTCTAGACGGTAACCTTTGTTCTGCAAATTTCATGCGGGAATCACATACAGATTTTTACAGTATCTATTGCTAGGGCAAGCATTCACTGCTTGTTCTCATTTCCTTACACCCACAGAGATCAAGTTGTTGCTGATATTATAAGTAACTTATGCTAAACACATCATATGAGTACACTATGCCAATAAAACCAGGCTTTTAACACAAATAAATACCCATGCCATTAACTGGTAATGGTAAAGATGGGGGTTCACAAACTATAAGAGAATTGCAGGGGGTTTGTTAAAAATTTAAATAAATGAGGCTGCACAATTAATCAAAATAAGATGTAATAAAATAAGTATAGTCTGTTGGGCTGTGTATCAGAGTGAAGAGCGGCATTGTAAATGCTGCTTCTCAAACTCTATGCGATGTGCTGAGAATAATACACATTTTTGGAACGCAATGTGCACTTGGTTCACATTTTTTACACATTTGCATAATTTCCAAGATTTCTACAGATAGAGGTTTGCAGAATTTCATCAGTTTTCCCTCAAAATAAAAGCTCAATGATTTGAAAGTTAAAAGCTGGAGGGTTTGAACATTTGAAAGTGAGTAATTTAATACAAAATAAAATTAATTATTACAAAAAGTAATAATAGTAATTAATATTATTATAATAAAGAACTTGAAGGAGGTCTTAGTTGGTTTCAGCAGGAGAAATGTGAGATTAAATGTCATATCACTGTTAAAACTACAATATATGACAAAATAATTTTTTGGCCAAGTTGTGCAGCCCTATATATAAATAATTTTGAAAAAAATGAAATAATAATAAAATAAAATAAATAAAAAACTGAAAAAAGTTTAATATTTTATCTGTTTATCATTTGACCATTAAGCAACATCAGAGAACCAGGAATATCTGAAAATGTTTAACTTAAAATGTCAGGCGTTCGATCAACCCAGCAATTGTCATATCTCATTTGCACAAATAACGGACTCTATATTTCTTAACACAAAATGTACATGAAATTAAATTGAAAATGTAAAGAAAAAATACCCTGTGCATTTAATATGTAGATTGTTTTTTCTCTTTTCCATGTCTTGGCATTAATGTTTGTGTTTTACTTGTGGAAGATATTTTATTTTACTTGTTAAGCATTGATGATAGTTAAATTCCTCTATACAAAGTCTGCAAATGACATTGTGATTGAATTCAACTTATAAATTAATATTTGGTTGAGAAGCCCTATTCTAACATTACTGTAACAGAACGCCATTAACATTAACTGGTGTATCTACATAAAACTTAAAGAGACGCAAAGTTTTGAATGCTTTCCATCATTTTCGGCAGGCAGTAAAGAAGACAGTAAAGAAGCATTAAGAGCAAAGCTCATGCCTGAGAATTTTGCAGAACAAGAGCCGCCATCTAGACTTGACCTGGTTTTGTACCATATTAAAGTTTCATGGTGCCGCATATTCCTGCTCTCCAAATAATTGGGGGAACTGACTCACTGTTTGCCGCAGGGCACCCATTTGTCTCCATCTCTCCCACAATTCCCTTTTTCTGTCCCCTCTGTATTTAACTTCTCATAGCAGTGCTTCTCTGACCCTCCAGCCTCTGAGAGAAGAGAAATCGACAGAAAGCAACAGGAGAAAAGAATGAAGGGAATGAGACAGAGAAAGGAAAAGACGAAACACAAGCAAGCATGTATTGAAAGACAGAGTGGATGGATTGCAGTTATTTTAACGTGCTTTCTTTGGCAAGAACAGTTGAAGCACTCTGAAGGCATCAGCGTCACTCACTTGGACCCCAGATGTATTTGCACTGACTCTCCCGGGTCTTACATTCACCACTGTAACAGCGACCCTGGTATAGTAACAAACAAAATGTGGAGGGTTTAATCAAAACTAGTCTAAATGTTGTTCTGCCATGTATTTAAATAGATTTATATATCTGACCTGGTTGAGCTGACAAGAGTAGCCATCTTGCTTATGAAGATTAGGGGGGCACTGTAAGAATAACAAAGATATTTACAAAGTATTTTTGATTCAATGATAAAATTTTTTTAAATGTTTTAGTATTTCTGTATGATATTTATTGAGATTTACGTTAGTAACTGTTAGTTAGTTAACTGATAACTGGACTATCAAAGTTAGTTTTTCAGCTCTGCATAATTTTTAAAAGTGTTAAAACTGCAGGCGGGCTGTCATTTAGTGAATAACATGCCTTCTGTTACGGCTGTTATGGCAGATAGTGATGCTTGGGGGTGTATTGTGTGAAACACCATCATCCCTGTGATTGTCATGTAGAAATTGTAGCATCTTCTGCATAAATTAATTAGTGGCCCATTGTTAGAAAACAGCGGCAGGAAAAATGATTTAAAATGATTTAAATGATTTATTATTTACAGGTAAAAATAAGATACTGGAAATTTCATTGAATTAACTCTGAAACAAATAGATGAAAAAATGTTAATTTAATTAGTAAATGTTTGTTTTTCAAGGGAATGTCAGAGAATTTGCATATGCATCACCATTACATTTTAATGGGCTATATAGAAAACAGAAAATAAATCAAATACTACTCAAATTTTGCTTTTACTGAAATATGCTTTCACTATGTGGTTCTGAGAAAATGCTTTTCTTTCTGTTCAACCCTTTATACTGTGATGTTTTCGTATTTCTAACTTCACATATAAATTACTGACATCAAATAAAATAAAATAAAATAAAATAAAAAAATAGAAAAAAAGAGCAAGACCTGTCCCGAGTCTCCTGAACAAGTCTCTGATATGTCACAATCATTTACAGCATATCGACAGCTGTATCCCCGTGGGTAGAACTGAAAAAGGTGCAGGGACAGGGATTGAGAGAAACAACTGATCAGTGCATTATAAGACACTCAGTAGTTGAGGATGGAGGAAGTTATGATGAATAATGAGGCAAAAGCGAAGTGTCTTACCAGGCATGTGCTGTTGCAGCAGGGGCCGTCACTGCAGTGTGCTCCATTAGACAAAGAACATTTTTTACAGCAGTCTTTATAGCACTCCTGCATAAGCAGATCAAATATGTGCATACAGACGAAAAAATAGTTAGTAAAATATTATGTTTTGCTATTGTCTGTATGGAAGTATGATTTACATAAAAAAATAGTGCTTACCATTCGAGCCCCACAGTCACACTCCTCTCCCACTTCCACATAACCATTTCCACATTCTGTAGCCTCAAAGAGCTGCCAACACAAAGCACAAGTTTATCCAGCATCATGTCTGATAAATGATGACTGTAAGACAAGTACTTGATTTTTGTTTGATGACAATGACAATCCATCACAATACACGTGAGAACCAATAACATTTGATGTCACTGACTGTTTCAATTTCAGCTTTTTGTTGAAGACCCGTTTTTTTTGTGGGTTGCAGGTACATGAACAGAACAAACAGAAAGGCAAGTAGATCCAAAAATAGCTTAGTTGGAGTGTAAGATCCAAATATAGCACAACAATCTAGCATACATTAATAAAAAGAATTGCACACCAATCAGGATTTGTAAGAGAATAACATTTAGTCCAGAGGAATAACATTTAGTCCAGAGGTTACCAATCTTAAAGAAATAGTTAACCCAAAAATGAAAATTTGCTGAAAATCTACTCACCCCTCAGGCCATCCAAGATGTAGATGAGTTTGTTTATCTGAACAGATTTGGAGAAATTTAGCATTACATCATTTGCCCACCCGTGAATCCTCTGCAGTGAATGGGTGCCGTCAGAATGAGAGTCCAAACAGCTGATAAAAACATCACAATAATCCACAAGTAATCGACACGACTCCAGTCCATCAATTAACATCTTGTGAAGTGAAAATCTTTATTTTTGCAAGAAACAAATCAATCACTAAGCCATTTTAACTTTAAACCATCGTTTCAGGCCAAAATACAAGTTTATAATCCATAATAACGCTTCCTCCAGTAAAAACGTCCACCCCTGTTGTCCTCTCACATCAAAATCCACTGACATATTCGTTTGGAAATGTTTTGGACTGCTTTTGCTAGTAAACCGTGCTTGATCTGTTCATATTTGTCTCCTGATTCAGACAAGATGACTTTTTCACTGGTGAAAGCAATATTATGAATAGAGGTAACATCTTAATGATAGATTTCTTTACTACAATCATGCAACTTTTTGCTTCACAAGATGTTAATTAATCGACTGAAGTCCTATGAATTACTTGTAGATTATTGTGATGTTTTTATCAGCTGTTTGGACTCTCACTCTGACGGCACCCATTCACTGCAGAGGATCTATTGGTGAGCAAGTGATGTAATGCTACATTTCTCCAAATCTGTTACGACGAAGAAAGAAACTATCTACATCTTGGATGGCCTGAGGGTGAGTACATTTTCAGCAAATTTTCATTTTTGGATGACTGTACTTTTTAAAAATGTTGAGTAATGAAAAATGCAGGTGAGAATGTTGTGTTGTCCGCACTATTGTTCAAGCCTACCTTGCTGGGTTTGTTAAACAGACATGAAGCACCTCCTCTTAGAAGAAAGTTCCTGTAGTCAGTAATGCTGCATTTGGAAAACCTGCGTGGGTGTTGCACTCTACAGAGGGGAACAGAGAAAAATAAACCTACGCAAATCAAGAAATATGACAGGAAACTAGGAGCTAAAATGCCCAGCAAGTAGTCAGGAGAGGCTATACAATAATGTGTGTGTTTAACGATACCCAGTGTCTTCCATTATACATCCCACCCATGAATCCATGCAGCCGCACTCCTCTGAGAGAACACAAGAGTGAGTGAGAAAGTCTGTGAGTTGACTTTAAATCCTAAACTCTTACAGTAAACAAGTCAGAAATCAAGTAGTTTGGCAGCAGGAGGTGAAACAAACTTACTCCTCCTGATCACAGGATCCCACTGGATACCCAGATTCTGTGCTAAGCTCTGAGAGAGAGAGGCAGCCATTGTCCATGTGCTGCCAAACTGAAAGAGAGGAACAGAAACAGCAGTGCATGACAGCAGAGGTAAGATGACACTTCATTTGTCATTTAGAATGGCTCAAAGGTAAGGTTTTACAGTAAATTGCCCAGTCTGTCTAACCAGAATGCTGCATGTGTCAACCTTACCTCATTAACACCAATTCCTCTTCCTTTGGAACACACACCACCAATATATGCAACACCGCTCCGACCGTAATGAAACGTCACATTACTGCAAGCAGAAAAAGGTCTTTATCATTGTCGCCAGTTCCCCTTTTGCTTTTAACTGTATTACCAAACAATGGTATTCATTTTAATTCTTAGGGAACTGTGTCATTTGTGCCAGAAATGTTCAGTTTTTTTTTTTTTTTGTATTACTAACAGTATGCTTAACATTAATGTGTTATATTATTTTTAACCCTGTCACAGTAAGTTTGGAATTATTTGTAATTTGAATAGGTAAATTCTGGCAGCCTTATAAATCACACACTGTAATTAAAATATTTTCATTAATGAGCTATAATTCATAATTCTATACTTCAAAAACATGCTTTGTGTCAACTGTGTTACAGTTCAAATGTTTTGGATTAAATGTTATCAGACAAGATTTTTCCAAAACAGACACTAATCATTTGCCCACTATATATGTAAAAAAAAAAAAGTGTAAAAGAAACTGTTGTTTGAATCATACAGCAACAAAAAAAAAAAGACTGAACAGAGAGAGCTGGGACAAATTATAGTCCCACATATATATATAAATATATATATATATATAGTGACATTAAATATTTTATTTTCAGTAAAATCAAAAAAAATTGTTTTTTCAAAAATATAACTCTAAAAATGTAATGGTGATGAATAGGGATATGCAAATTGGCTGATATTCCAGTTATAAAAAATGCAATGCTATATTTTTAAATATGCATTATATATTGCATTATACACTAACCAGTGTTAAATGAAGTATTGTGACATAAGTCCAGCATTCTCTTAGCACACACATTTCCTGAGAATGACCAACACAAATTCAGAATTCTCAGTTACTCTTCTACACCAACAACTGAACCGAATTTTTTCGGTTACTGGCCAACATCCTTAACCACCAGGCTATCACACCTCATTCATTCAAGAGACTGCAACTCACGTGAAGAGGTGCACGGCATCAGCGTTGATGTTGATGTTCTGTTGTCTGTACTTTGAAAAGTCGCTTAGCATTTCCAATGGTTTCACGCTCAGCGGAATCCAGTCCCTGTCAGTCCAAATCTCCACAGCAACCAATACCACACGCGTATTCAGCTGCTCCTTAAAAATCTAAAGAGAATATCATCTGAATTTTAGATTAAGAAGATTATAAATTGGGTGACTATTAAGAAAATATTTTACAGCAATTAATATGTGAACATACAGCGTCTACAAAGTTGACCACTGATTTGGCCGAGTTCCGGGTATGCTTTTTACTCTTATGCCTTTTAAACTGCAAAAACAAGAGATGAAAAAAAAGGAAATAAGTTTCAAGGTGTATTCTGAACATTTTTGGTTCTGCAGTATGTGAAAAATAAGGGAACATTTGTTATTCAGTGCCCTCTAGTGGATAATTTCAACAATTAATTTCAACAATTGATTCAAAAACATATATATATATATATATATATATATAAAAAAAAAAGATTAAAAGAAATTTTCAGACTTGGCTAATTTATACAGGATGCTTGTAATGTGTTGTGGATAAACCCACCGTGTTGTGGTCAGCGACAATCATTATTTCCAGATACTTCATTTCTTCAAAAATGTTACGTGGCATCTTAAAAAATAATAAAATCAAAATTATACATTCAGAGAGCATAGCATTTAAGTATGAGGTAGCATTTATAGAGGTTTCCACTGAAACAGTGGAGCACATGGAAAAGGCTGAGAGTCATTTCTTACAGCTCTTTTCCTCCTTCGCTTTAGCCAAGGCATGCTAGCAAAAATACGCTTCTCCTCTTCTTTTTCCTCAATTGGGTCATCAGCAGCTGAGAGAAACAGACATAAAGGTAACCATGGAGATAAGGGGGTGTGGATATAATATCTTGCCATATATCTGTTACCATGACCTTGGCACACTTACCCCAGGCACCTGGGACAGAGGTCACATGGAGCGATGATGTTCGGCGCAAAGTATGGGGTCGTGCTTCCGTTTCCTAAAAGGTACAAACATGGTGACCTTTGTAGACGAGCTGTGCGAGTAATGAAATCAAAAAGGATAAGCTATATTGAAGTGATATTTACTCACGGTGTGAGTCTGTTTCAAAGGCTCGATGAGATAGACAAAATTACCATCATCAAACATCCCACTGGAAGAGTGAAGCACAAGAAGGGGGTTGGGAAAAGAGAGTCAGGGATGTCAATCGGAAAAAGGATACAGGAAGAAGGACAGATAAAACCGCAATGAGTCAAATCACTCGTCAAGTGACTACAACTGTGCTTTTCTAACCGAACAAACACTCTGCTCTTTCCCTTGGCTACTCTCTGTGACACACACTAACATGGTGACATTCAAATCTTTTCATGTGTACCAACTGCCATCTGGCCTCACAGTAGGTCTCCAGGTCAGAATTTCTCTCCTGCACTCTCTTTATCTCACTCACACACATACAAACAAAACAAGGTTTCTTACTGAAGCCCGTTGCAGGTGGATAAAGCTACACGGGAGTCTTCTTTTCCTCTCACGTGGCCGTGGTAGTAGCAGTGTTCCCCGCCCTAAACAAATGCACATTCATCACTGCTATGCAGTAGTTATTTTCAGGGTATTTGATATTGGTGTGCTGCTCTTTCTGTCTTACCCTGGAGAGAACTGGCTTGTCTTTGTCATAGTGGATTTCCACATAATCTGAAGAGAGCAGATCACTAAAATCAAAGTGAGAGAGAGAATTCAAAGGGGCAATCTTGCATTAATTATCCAACAACACAACAATAAATCTAGAGCCCCGGATCCCATGCACCTATGTGCTTAATAAGCATGCATTGGGAGAACACTGTCTTCTGTATCAGCTGTTCTAGCTTTGAGACCTCCACGCTGTTAGTGGAACAGAAGCTGCATCACATCTTTAGGGATTCTGCCACATAGGTTTGTTAAGGCATAGTAAATATACATAAAAATGCATTAAATGTGTATTTGAAGAGCAAATTGAATGTTGTGTGATAAATATATATATAGTATATATAACAGCATCAATAGCATAATTCACCATCAAATGTCCCAAAACATTCTTTTTTTGAAGAAAACAGAAACAGAAAAGTCTTTTAATCCCATGATCACAAACACTTCTGTTGCTGCAACTGATCCTATTTTTATAGCTGTCACAAGCTGACAATTAATCAGCCTAAATGCATTTTAGCTTGCAAAAATAGACACTTGCAAACATATAATTCATCAAATGAAAAGAAAGTGGGCAGCAATAATAATTCTTATTTATGGCTTAAATGTGTTTAAATATTTTCTAAAAGACTAAGTGAAAATGATGTGCACATTAAATATGGATAAAAATTGTACTGCCTTGCATTTTATTTTATGTACTAAAAACCCTCAGACATTTTTCAAAATATATTATTTTGTGTTCCACCGTAGAAAAATAGTCATACATGTTTGGAACGATATAAGGGGGAATAAATGATGACAGAATTTTAAATTGTCATCCTTTTTAAACTGTGACCTCTGGTATTGGATATTTCTGGTTAACGTGATGTGGAAGCCAAAACGTTTGGCAACTACTGATGACTTGTGCTCAAATAGTGTCACAATGCTTCTGAATTTTGAATGACACCAGATATAAAACTGTGCTGCAGTGCATACTCATTTTAACTGTGCAAAACTTGTATAAATAACAATTATTTTAATATGAGCTGCTGACCTGCACCCCATCTTCTGTGACTATCACAACTTTCAAAGAGCAGCTGAAGACAGACCTCTTCCACAAGCACTTAAGCACAACCAAAGCACTTACTACTAAAAAAAATACTTTAGCTTCTTGTCAGCATTTTACCTTTGCTCTTGCTTGTTTCCTAATCTAGCTTTCTACTAAACCTGATAAGAATATTGTTGGCAATATGACAAATTGTTTGTGATGTTTCTCATTTGAATTTGCTTTGGATAAAAGCATCTGCTAAATAAATAAATGTAAATTAACAGGGATATCACACTTGATACCACATAAAACAATTAGCACCTCACATCCCAGCTAACAAACTTATGTTCTAAGAAAGTTTTGCTATAATGTTCCCATTAAGTTATGAAAACAATATTCCTGTATGTTCTCTGAATGTTCAAAACATACAGGTTTTTAAATGTTTAAATTTGTATTATTTTTTATTTCTTTATTTTGGTTATGTGAATGTTAAAGAAACCATTAATTGAACGTTGCATTTTATCATTTTGCAAACATTCTGGGAAAGTTACTTTTGAATGTTCTCTTAGACGAACATCCAATTAAAATGTTTCAGAAAAACATTCCATTAGCGAGGAATAAATAATGTTACAGTGCTAACGTTTTGAGAACATTATTAAAGACCAGATAACTTTGAACAAACATTCTATTAATGTTACTGGAAGAATGTTTGTTGATAAATTTGGGAGAACCTTGCCAGAAAGTTAGTCAGCATTCACACAGTTCGGATGATATTTAAACCAAAGTGTTTTTTGCTTTTCAGCAAATACCTTGAATGTAAAGGTGCTGACAGACAATAGACAAACGGAGGAGATGACTGAATGGACTGAATTTGTGCGATAAACTCACAATGAAATTTAGCGAGATTAGAAATCCCCATGCACCATGCAAAAGGGAAAAAAATATCAATTTTCAATTTTAAAAATGTGATATTTGAACAATGCACAACTAAACAACAGAGCAATTCTTTGTTTTTGAAACCAAATCTGTCTTTTGCTACTCAGACACACACACTTACTTGTTCAGTGTAAGGTCCAAAGTGAATGTGGTGCCGAAGGCGTCCAGCTGGAAACTTGCTTGGGCCAGGTGGACATCCTGTGGTCAGGGAGATAAATAGGGGCTCATTAACACTTCACAAAACAAACATAAGTTGTTATATCAAACCTGCCAGCAAAGCTGCAAATGTTATTCAAAAAAATCTTTTTGTGAAAATTTAATTTCTGCAGACACATTAAATCATATTCTCAACAAGCAAATCTCTGTAAGTGCAGATAGATAAAACATCCGCTCTAGAGCAACATAAATCACACAGCTGTGCTGCTTTACAGCAAAAATACTGCACTGGCAAAAGTAAAGTGAAAGTGTGTGCACAATGCAATCCCACAATGTCTGTTCAGTACAGAGAGTGGGGGGAGTGAAAACTGCTTCTTTTGCGAAGTGTGTTAGATTTGTGAGGGAGGGCTGGTGAACCTTGATCAGCTCTGAGAATTTGGACATACTGCACCATTCCCAGCAGCTCCTAGCAGTTTGAAAGAAAGCAGCTTCCTGAAGACCTGAATTTGGTGGGGGCTAAAATATGCAGTGTCGGGGATCTTTACACTGCAAGACAGCCCATGTCTCACCTGTCCATCACTGGCCTGGCTCCTCGTCCGAGTGTCCAGGTCATGATACGTGCTCTCCGACTCCTCATTCAAGTAGTAGATGAGCCGGGAGGGATATGTGACCGTGACCTCGTGCTCTCCGGTTTTTCTACCCGTGGAATTGCCCGGTGCCGCTGCTGTCGCTTCTCGCGGGGTCTCAGGCACCTGCTGATCCCTGAGATCCTCATTCTGTACGAAGCTGGAAACTGCAGGAAAGGAGGAAATTGTTTACTGCTTTACAGTCTCCATCTCAGAGAGGGATCCCGTCAATTATATATGAACGTGTGCCAGCAGTTGCAGCCCTGTGATGCTGCAGAGAAGCTGCGCACAGATCTCCCTTATGCAGATCTCAGGGTATCGAACGGAGGCACTACGGCTGATAACCAAATAAAACACTGAAATCTGATCACACATTCAAGACAGTGGGTGAGAGGGTGAGATATGATACATGTAATGGCAGAAGAGACATAAGAGACACTTATTGGCAAAACATACCCATATCAAATTTTTTTTTCTCAACTTTTATCAGCTGCATATCTGGATATCTGATATCTGAATTGTAAAAGCTTTAGACGCGCATCATGTCAGCTAATAATAATCTATTGTCATGGTAATCGAATTAAGATTCAGCGCGCCTCACTAAATCCCGTACAGCACCATACTAATGGAGCTGTCAACCCATACAGAGGCCTTCAAAAGCTTTTACCCCCCTCTGCATAGATTGACACGTGCAAACAGCCGTAAACACAGTTAAGTAATGGAGGCGGCTCAATCAAAGCCTAGAGAACCTGCGTATTTAGCTGGGATTTCCTACCGCAACAAAAGGCGTTGGAAAAACACCTTGCACTAATACCAACGTAACATATAGCAAATATCGAATAAAGACGTATTATGTAAATAATAAAGTTACGCAAGATAAACATTATACTTACCCGTTGAGGTTGAGGCAATAGAAGATGGCACGGAAATAAATATGCTAGCGCGCAGACACAGATGGAATATCAGACGCATGATTCATATTTGAAGACTAAATAAAATGTCATTAGCGCATCAATTTAGAGCGAGCGTTGCAGTCCATTATTATGAGAGCGATTTTGGTGCGTATCCCGCGGGAAGAGGGGGAAATCCTTCATGCAGCATCGGAGACTGAGGGGTGGGTAGCACGGTTGGGATGCTGAGGGGTAGGGAGGACTGGGAAGAAGGCGAAGGGGTGGCAACTCGGATGGATGGAAGGCGGTGGCCAAGCAGCACATATCGTAAGGGAAGCCAATGCGATTGCGCAGTGCATCTTATGCTGCGCTGACGCGTCAACCATCCTGACTTGGTACACTCGCCAACACACTCATCCTAGCTAATAGGAAATTTACCATTTACTTCTCAATGGTTAGAATACATTAAGACAACTAGAGTGATTATACACTAGCCCACAAGCTCTGAAATAAAAGCTTTAGTCTTTTATAGGTTATTAAAGACATTAGTCAGGTAATAAAAAGTGTATCTTCGTCAAGAAAATAAGCTGATTTATTTTCAGTCACTATTTGCACACGTATTTTATATTTCTAAATCTGTATATAAGCGTATTGTTGCCTTACATACAAATGTATTTTTCTATTGCATGTTTCAACCCACACCACTACGATTTTGCATTAAGGGGTATAATCTGCTATTGTTTTTCCAGTATTAGTATATGGACCCTATACTTGACTGTATGTATTGCTCTCTGTGAAGTGTTTTATTACGTATATGAAGTGTTAACCTTGTAAAGACCTGTTATATTCAGGCTTCCACGGTCACTCAGGAGACATATTTGTTTCATTTCTTCTCCAGCCACATAGTAGAGAAAAAAGACAATGAACCAACCTCACTTCACTTTTTAAAAACAATGTTATAGCTTCTGCCACTTTCATGGAATATCGCAACCATCACCATGGCTGCTGGGCTCTTCTTAAATGCTTTGATCTCAACAACCATTAGGTAAAGAGTTAGTGCAATAATATATGCACATAAAAAGATTTACCTTTATCTCTGCAGTGGGAGCAAACATTAATCCACATTTAAACTACATAGTGTAAAAAGCCTATAAAGGCATCTGTATTGTGTGTTTGTGAGAGAGAATGAATGGCCGATTCCCAAAGAGCACATTTGCTCTTGGTGTATTGCTGACTTAAGCGTTTTTTGCATTTGTTGGTTTGCTATTTTAAAATCAATTGAATAGAGTGCCAACACCCATTGTGAAAAAACATGCTCATGATGTATTATCAAGGACAAAAATATTCATTATAAATTTAATTTACAACCATCAACCTTTGAGAAAATACCCATTATAAACTTAAAAAATATACTCATTACAAGTAAAAAAAAATTGCATTTGACAAATAAACAAACATATACAGACAAAAAAGAACTTAAACTAGAAACAGTCAGCTGAAATTCAACTGTGCAAAACTATACAGCATTTGAAGAACAGAAGACAGCTTATGCTCATGGCTGGTGTCTGATAACGTTCAGTCTGCTATATGTACAGTGGCCGTCCTCCCCCTCACTCTCTTCTGCTGACTGGCACTGAGCATTCTATTTATTTGTTTAGAAGAGGATGTAATAACCGGCTGAATTGCCAGTTTAGAGGAAGCCGATGATCTAAGTGAGGTCCTAGCAGGGCTCTTGTTTCTGGGAGATGTCCTACATTCTGCAGATATATGGGAGCTAACAGTTTGCTGGAGATTGCCTTGTGATTTTGCTTTGCGCTGTGGTTTGGGTGACTTCCTCTTGGTCCTGTAAGGGGGTACTGGTGGTCGCCTGGCTGGAGTCAAAGGTCCAGCCCTCCGTGAGCTACGTCTGATTGGTGTTTGGTCAACTGGTGTTTGTTGACGGTGTTCCTCTTGTTCCAGTCCTCCAACCTTATAGGAACTGCCTGCACAAGAGTGAGAAAGTGCTTTGGAAGAATCATCCACATGGGTAGATGGCGTGAGATGTCCGAGGAGGAAACAACTGCTACTTGAGATAGAGGAGCGGGTGAATAAGGCTCTTTGGCTGCTAGACAAAGAAGAACCAGGTTCTGAGGGGCCACCGCTATCCAGAATAGAGTCTGAGGTGGAGGTACACAGATCAACCATGCTGCTCCTACCACGGCCCTTCCGAGAACCTCCTGATGACTGCCCCTGCTCCAGGCCCTGCCTCCCCTTATTAATATCCGGACTAAGGCTACGGAATAGCTGTCGGACGTGTGAAAGAGATTTGGAATTACAGGATAAAGACATGCCTTTTGGTGGACTCTTTAAGATCCTATTGGTCAAAGGGTCGTAGAACTTAAGAGGTGTCTTTTTGTATTTGTACTTCAGGCCAACATTGCTATCACATGACTTCCGTTTCCTCCCTGCTTTTTTAATAGGGGTGGGCTTGGAGAATCCTTGACCCCCATCTGGGGAAGAAAGCACAAAGACCACAGTTTTGGGCTGTAGAGGACTCATTATCTTGCAGTAAGAAGCTGGAAGCTTCAAAGCACAGAGTCTGGTCTTCATGTCAGGGGTCCTTTCAGTGCTAGGGCATTGCTGGGGCTCTTCACTGTGTGTGGAGGGGAATGTTTCTTGTGACGATTTTCGCCGCACCACAGGGCAACTAAGAGGGATGGTCTGTGTACTGTGGCTTACCTTTACCACTTGGCAACGTGATGCAAGTCTGTAGATTTTATGCCTAGATTTCTTCAACAAAATTGCGGAAGGTTTGGGGTCTTCTTCATTGTGATCCATGAGTGGCAAGATGTCTGTAGGCTCCCACCCAGCATTATCTGCTTTCTCTTTTTTGTCCTGATTCTTTTTCTTTCTCCTTTTCTTAATGTGCTTCCCAAACCTAGCTAATGATTCACTGTCAAAATAGCAACGGAATTGGCCTTGTTGGAACTCTTTCACTATGGAGTCTATCTTCAGGTCATCTTCAAACATCACCTGTGTCAATGTTTTGCCAACAAAAGACTGTGGTATGTGGGGAAGATCGGGAAACACCTTATCAGCAGAACTCTCCTTGTTTTCCTCAGGTGTTCCCACAGTGTTTAGGGCTGTGTCCAGCTGAGTCTGGTATCCTTGGTCTTCAAGGTTTATATGCACTTCCAGTAACTCGGCTAAATTTTTTTCTTCACCCTTTGCCTTTCCCAGAGCCATCTGTATTGCATTGTCCCATTCTTCACTGCCTTTGGATTCACTCATAGACTGAGGACTCAGAATGAAGCTACCATCATCCTCCCGCTGATCGACATAACAGTATTTTTCAATAACCTCCTCTATCACATCTTGAATCTGGTCAGATAGATGACTGAATGTCTGTTCCCTATGGGGGCCTTTCCAAGGTGGCAGTGCTGAAATCCACATTGTGGACTCTTCAGCCACTGATTGAAAGGTTGCAAGCTGGTCCTTCGAGGTAATGCACTTTGCAGCTGGTGGGGCACGGAAGGCTGTAATGGAGTCGCTCCCCTCTTTATCCCTATTGGTTTTCTTGTGTGCTTTCCTGTGTTCAACATCTCCAGTCTTGGCGACTGGTGGACCCTCTGAAGCACAGGGATGTACAGAGCGGTGTGTTTGTGAGCTTTGTCTCTGAACAGGTAGTGTCAGTTGTGATGCATGTGGCTTGTCATTGGCAGAGCTGCCACTAGTCCTGTGCAAAAAACCCTGTGTGGGGGAGTACTTTTCAGAGGGAGGTGGTTCAGGCACCATTTTTCCTATTTGGGAAGTGGTATGTATGTGTGTAGATGCAGTAAGGTCAGTCATCACTGCTGGAGTTGAGGCTGCAATTTGCAGCATTTCACATGACTCTTCATCAGAGGTAGGCATCTCCTCACGTGTCCCAACAGAGACACCATCATCATCTGATCCACAGTACACCTCTGAGAGCACCTCCTTTGGGACAAGTGGGGTGTTTAACGAAGGTAGATCAGCATGGGTAGGCCTACAGAGAAAAAGAAGTGTCAAAAACAGTGACTGAAAATGCCTTTTTTTCAATTCACAAAGCTCAAAGTATGTAATATGTTATGGGTAGGGCTGGGTATAGTTCAAAACGATACTTTTTCGATACCTATTTTATGATATCCATTTGAACAAAATTACATTACCTCAAAAAAAAAAAACGTACATTACCTCATAAAACTATGTTTTTCAGTTTGTTGAGGCTTTTACAGACTCAAAGACTCATCTCCTGAGACACTGCACAAAGGAACAAAATGAAACCAACACAATATATCAGTGCAAATAAAGTTCAAATAGTTTTTTTCAGTGCATAATGAACAGTTTTAAGTCAGTATGTGAGGATCTGATGAGCATTAGCTGCTTCTAGCAATGTCTGTCTGTGTTTTCTCTTCCGCGATCGCTGTTCTGACTCAGAGGAAGCTCATTCGCTGTTCATATGTCACTCATATTACACGTTCATAACCCGCTCTGTCTCCGAGGACGAACGTGCGTTACACATCCAGAAAAACATTTAAAGGGATGAAACATGAAGCTAATAAACACGCAATTATGACTTAATTTGTATGTGATTTTCATGAGATTCTGCCTATTTTCATAAGAATAAAGTGTATTTAAATGAGAAATGCTTCATTTGACTGCATCTTAAAAAAAAAAAAAAAAAACTTTTCCTTCTCTTTCCTTAATCCCCCTGTCTAGCTTGTACTAATCTGAACAATGCTTGAAACTTTGTATTATGAGCACTTCCTGTGTTTATTTGCCTCTTTATGATGAATTGCTTGTTGTATTCCTCAATTGTAAGCCACTTTGGATAAAAGCGTCTGCTAAATGAATACATGTAATTGTAAATGTAAACTCTAAGCAGATGTAGCGATTAGCTTGATATAAAAGGCAACAAATAACATTTCTGCAACATTATATGACCAAAATCCTCATTAAATCATAATTGGAAGTTATTACAAACACTCAATGGTGGTTTAAAGTGCGTTTTGAGTAAAATCATAGTATAAATTTTATAAATTGTCTTATGTAGCATGATGCTACAGTATGAATGAATGGTCACGTAACATGCGTTTTACTTGATGCCTCGCCAATCACTGATTTAGGCACATAAAGCATGCTGTATGCTTATTGCCTTACTGATTTTGATGAGATTAACCCCTTAGGTATCAAAATTTGGTACCGAATGACAAGACATTTTTCGATACTCGATGGTATCGAGGCAATTCGGTCGGTGCCTAAAAAGTATCTAACTCGATACCCAGCCCTAGTTATAGGAACATGTCAACAAGGCTATAAGAAATCTAATGTGGGT